TAGCGGTTAGACCATTGACCACGCGTCCTCGAGAGGACGGAGCATTGTTCCCACAGGACCGATCACCGAAGGCCAATCGTCCCTTTCTACTTTGCCAAAGGCGGCTCAAAAATGTCTCCCCTAGTCTGTCTATCCAAACGATATCTCTTCCCGCCTTTTCAACCCACTTCCTATGCCCCAGTACAGCTACCGTCCTTTCAACTCGATTCCATGCCTCAAACACCTCCCTGTACGTCCTATCTATTTTTCCCAGCTCAGTCACGTACACTTCCCTCTCCTTCTTGTACAACGGACATTCCGCGACTACATGAGCACGGTCTTCGCATTCGAAGCCGCAATCACATTTGAACTCGTCGTCCTCGTCGTCTACCGTCCTATGTCTTCGTCGACGTTCTCGAAGGCCTATGTCCCCGGTCCTGAATTTGACCTTAAGCTTTGTTCCTGCATCCATTGGTCCATGTAGGTAGTCCTTGAACCCTATTCCTTCCTTCAACATTCCGTACACTTCTAGACCCTCCTTATCCTTGGATTCTTTCCTCAGATTCTGTTCTTCTCTCTCGGCACAAGCAACAGATATCTTCTCCTTGAACCCCTGTAGACCCTCCGTTTCCAGCGTTTCATCTTCGTCGATGTCGAGCCCCTTCCATACGTCCTCTACAACCTTGACCCATTCCGTGGGTTGTCTACCCCTCTTTTTGTTTGCCCACTTCGCCTCCCATACAATTCTCGGCGGGGGGGGGGAGGTCCTGAATGTTTCATGCGACAAACACAGATGCAGCCCTTCTAGTACTGCCGGCCAGCAGCCTTAACACAACTACCTGGCAGAACACGGGTACCTCTTCTGCACCAATGTGTACAAGACAGAAACGCTTGGTCCCTGCGTTGCGGCACGAAATGGGGCAACAATCAGGTAGAACCACCGACAGACACCGTCCCACCACAAGCTTCAGTGCAAAACCAATGCCAGGCGCAAGCTTGAACCAAACTATCTTCGGTCTTCTTGCAATCTGTCAACGCGAATCGAGGAGGAAAAAATCTTCTGCCCGACTGGTCTGACCGACGCAGTGCAGAGACGGAATGAAAAGTCACCAAACTACAAAACATACGAGGTACATCATAAAGATTTAGCGCACACTTGTGTTCGTTCTTTCACCCAACAGATTGCACGTCTTGACACCGGCAATAATGCTGCCCTCCCTCGTTTCGCACAAATCTAATCGAACAACAAGGGTCGAAGGAGCCGGCGCCGCCCTCCACCATGATGCGCCAAATTCCTGCAAGAAAAGCATCAGCAACCCGCGACATCAACACGTTTCGTCCTGGACACCTACCTCGCGCAACAAACCAAACAACTCTCATTGGTCTACTAGAAATGCAACATCATGAAACTGAGCGCCAAATCTAAGGGAGAACACCGAGAGGTCGACTGGGAGGAGTCAAGCAATAAAAGACTCATACACGGAACGTGCATAACCAACACCGCAAACACAAACGACACGAAGCGCACAGTATGAGACGCATCGTCAAGCGGTGGCGAAGATCTCATCACACACCGGCCGGTGCTCCATTAGGAAAAAAAATCCAAGGAACACATACAAATCGCTGCCGCTCTAGCTGCTGGGGGCACGGCCCTGTCCTCCCTCTCCCCCACCAGGCATGCAATCGTTGGACGAGCTGCCGTCTCCATCTCCCCCCTCCGTCGTAGAGCCTCCCTTTCCCGATCCCCCCTCACTCTTCTCGCGCGGCGTTGTTTTCTCGTCTCCCTCGTCCCCCGACCCCGGCCCTATCTTTGAGCTATTCTTCTTGAGCTTCCTGAGCACCCATTCCGTATACACGGGGCCGACGAGCGGTTCCTCCCCCCAGACCCTGATCGACTCCAAGACGCTCTCGTGGACCTTGTGGAGGGTCCTGTTCAGCTTGCGCGGGCTCACCAAGCCGTTTCCCGCGTTCTCGAGAGCAAGGAGGCGTGCTCCGAGAGAGTCGAGGTCACTCTTGACGTTGCGGAGCTTGGTCGTGTCGTCCATCGACGGCGGCCGTGGCGACGCCTCCGCCGCAGCACTCAGCGGGTCGCCACGGGACGCCGAAGACGCTTCCTCCACCTTCCTCCGCGCCAAGCACTCCCGCACCTCCTGCTGCACCGCCACCACCGCCTCCTGCTGCATCTGGTGCGTCGCGTTAATGGCACGGAGGAGATCGGCCATCGCCGCCTTCTCCCTTGCAGAAGCGTCGTCGGCCGCCTTCCGCGCGGCGTTGCCGGCAGCTTGCTCCTTGAGCTGGAGGACGTCGGCGCGGACGGAGTCGACGGTTGCCGTGCACTTCCTTTCGCGAGCTTCCATGGCGTCCTCGTGCGAAGCGACGGCGGCGGCGAGCGCGGTGCCAAGCTTGTTCTCTTCGAGGTCGAACTTCCTCTGCCACCACGCCTCCCGGCTCTCCTGCATCACGCGCCACTTTCCCGTCTCGTTCATGACGGCCTGTGCCATCTTGGCCTGGAACGCTAGCGCCATCTTCTGCTCTGCGGCCGCGATGCCGGCGGCGACGGCATCCTCCATCGAGGCGGAAAGCTTTCCCTTCGAGAGGTTCGCATCGTTGTCGAGGTTCGCGTCATGCTCCACCACCGCCACGCGGTCGAGAAGGCGGTCGAAAGCCACCCACACCTTCTCGAACCTGCTGCTGAAAACAGAGCCCTGGGGGTCGACACGGCTCCTCGACTGGTGAGCCCCCGTGGACCTTCGTCTGGTTTCGGGAAGGTGACCACGCATGCGCTTGCGCCCACTTTTGCGTTCGTTGTTGTCGAGCGCATTCGATGCAGCTCCAGCGAGCAGCGACACGTGACGGCTGAGGATGAGTAACAGCCGGAAGCAGCCAACCGCGGCACACAGCGCCACCAGTGAGCAGATGATGGACCAGGTCGCCATCGGGAAACCGATCTGGAGTTCGTAAAATCGTTGCGTTCGGGAACGCAGAGAGGTTCTCGATGGCCCTGCATCAAAACAAAAGAGGGTCAAGACGGAGAAGATTGGGCGGGAGAGGAAGGGTCAAAGGCAGGGTCTGGATGTCGAACAACCAAAACGCGAGTTGGAGCAGCAATACGCCGATCGCAGAATCAGCAGCACTATTTACTCACTATCGATTATTACATGGCTCTCAAACGGTGAACGGTCGACTGTAACGCAGCAGCACTCTTCGATTCCTATCGCGGCGTTGGTGTACGCATCAAGTTTGAGGGCGCAACCGCGCCGTATGCCAACCTGGGTTGATAGGACATATCGGCAGCGCTGAGAAAGGCGCCAAGCACAAGCACAGCTGCAGCCCAGCGAAAACTATGGCCGACATACCTCCTGCTACGGAGTTCTTGCCAACCACATACTTCAGTTCAAGTCTGTATCGAAGAAACCAAGTCCAAGTGACGTTTCGGCTTGTGAATGTCCAACTTGAATACCTCCATGTCAGTAAAAAAGGTTGTGGGGGAGCGGCAATTGCGCTGGCACTTGCAGGTATTGCTGGGGCCGTGCTGTCGAGAGCTGCTGCTGCGGTCCCAAAATCCGGCAAATCTCGGCCCACACCATTCACCATCCACTGCTGTACGCGAGGTGTCACGGACCCAATCCCCCGAACTGCGGGTCACGCAAGGCAGCTCAGATACTCCGGAGGATTGGGTCCGTGCTGGGTCGTACAGCAGTGGATCGTGAATTGAATGGCCCTCGATTGACAGACTGTTCGGACCGCAGCTGCAACCTTCGGCGAAACGCCGCTAGCAATATGGGCATGCCAACACGCATGTCGCTGCTCCATGATCCCTCCTAAAGGTACAGATATGCACGTCGGGACTCCGCAGCGCAAATACCTCTTAAGAGCACCCAATGGTACTGCTGTGTCGCTGTTGTGTCTTAAATAGACAATACAGTAGAAGTGTTTTTATTATTGTCTTGGTTTGAAGCAGGCGTACGCTTGTAGACTCCTATTGTTGTTGCTGACAAGTCCCAACCGCTGCTCTATGTGACAGCTCGTGGATATTTTTTTGCGCCAGCACTTCCGACGTGTGGTGTGTGTTTGCTGCGTGCACCTTCGATCCTTTTCTACACGAGCAAAATCAAGATCGATTGACGAGGACCCCCAAAGCGCGGCACACGACAACCCCCGAGCAATACTTCAGAGCACCAATCCAGGGGCATGTCTCTACCCATCCGCCCAACAGCATGCACATCGAATTGGGACACACGTGATGCGGTTCAAGAGAGACAAACGTATCGTCCGAAACAGCGGTTGGCCACGCAGGATAGTGGGATGCACAGAGAGCATGACAGGCGCAGATGCAAGTAGAAATCGGGCCGGGCAACATCGCTGGCCCTTTTCAAGTAAGCTGCTCTCTGGCGGTTGTGGTCAACTCGATGAGCCGCCGGCTTGGATTTGAGGATGTTTGGCACACGCAAAATGAACAAAGGATCAACGTCGACATTGGCAGCAGGCACGCATGTTGGAGTGTCCGTACTGTTTCGACCAGCACCCTTGCGTGAGAGCGGAGCACGCACCCGCGGCGTGGTCCAAAGCTGTGCATGTGCATGGTTGGAGGTGTTGGCACAGCTGAAAACTCACGAAGGCCGAAGCGCGCTCTCCTCTTGATTTTCGTTGGTGCATTCTTCCCTCTTCCCCTCACAATAGACCCTTTCGGAAATGTTTGTTTGGGTCAGACAAAATGCTCCGACAAAAAGAATTTGTTGGAATCTGTAGCCGGTGACGGTTATATTTGTCTGAGGCTGCCCCAGGCTCAGACACAAACCCCTCACCAACCTCATTAGATCTGAGGCGTTTGTTCCTGTTCAGAAGGCTCAGAAATTCGATCTTTGAGCAGCAACAGAGACAGAGTAGCGAACCACAAAAGATGGCACCGCATGGTACAGACTCGTCCAAGCCTCATGTCACCACCACGGAACAGACCTGCTCCTCCTCCGATGCGGGCGGTGTGCGTCTATGTGTAGATTCGTGGTGATCGCTGTGGAAGGAACCGAGGGGAGGGTGGGATGAGACAAGGCTCACCACCAGCAGTCTCAAAAAGAACAACTTTCTTGCCTACAACCCGGTCACGAGGACACCCATGTCATGAGCTGTAGGCCAACCGAACTGCTGGGAGATGGCCCAAAAGTTGCCTTGTGTTACCCTCTATCGCTTTCGGATCTTTTTCATGCCATTTATTGTCTGGGCTATTTTGTCTGGGCATTTTGTCTGGGCAAAACCACACATATTTCCGAAACTCCCCAGTGGCACACCTCTCCCCACAAAAAGCACACAAACGCACAAAACACACACCTGCTTTGCCCCTCTATTTTTTCTCCACTTTCCCCCCTCCGCTCCTTCCTCTCTCCCGTGGAAGGTTTTCGTCCTTGCCGTCCTCTCAACAGGATCGATCGGCGGGGGGTCGCTGAAGAGAGCCGGCAGCCGAGCAAGCTGCGATCGCGTTGTGTGCCCTCGCAGATCGCCCGTCACCCTCTCTGGGAAGCAAAAAAAAAAAAGCGGAAAGAGATTGGAGTTGAGGAGGCGACACGGCTTGCCCCCTCCAGGATCCGCCCCGGCTGTCAGTTAACGATTCCAAGGGGTTTTCAAACCGTTACGCAGAGCCGGCAGCAAAAAAAGGCACAAAGTGAAGATCGAGATACACATGTGTCCTGGTATCCGCATGACCGATCCAGGGACTGGACGATCCGAGCTGATTCCGTTCTCGATACTCTCTTCCATTGAACATCTCGTCGACAAGGCAAACTCCGTGAGCCGATTCCCAATAACTCACGCTGTAATAGGAGGTCGTGATTGATGTCACAGCAGTTGTCCAGCAGTCTCGATCTGTCGAGGTGACAGCCACGAGCAGCAGTCTTTTGGTTTAGCCTTTGATCCCCCCGCCGGCTTTTTCTGTCCGCATCGTGGGCCCCCTCCGTGTTTTCCGCAATTCTCCGAAGATCAGCAGATTCAAAAGTCGGAGATGTTCTTTACAGCTGCTGCTGCTGTTGGTGGCATCAACTTCCTCTCTCTGGACGCTTGGCCGCAAGGCGCTTCCTGGATGAAGCAATGTGCCAGCTCCAGGTTCTCACGTGAGAAAAAGAGACCCCTATCTCGTCGGTTGGTTATTACCATATATTATTCTATCATTTTTGGACGACCGCGGGCTGCAGGGGGGACTTCAGAAAAAAAATGGAGAACGCATGACGGAACCCCCCCCTGCACCTTCTCGCGTTGCCCCCCACCTTGCTCGTTGGGGCGCCCGGGAATCTGTCATAGATGGCAGGAAAGAAACTCCTGCCATAACAAAAAACGCCTCCAGAACCGACTCTACACCTCCAGAACCGACTCTCTCTGTTGTTGTTGTTGTTGTTGCCTTCACATTANGAAAGAAACTCCTGCCATAACAAAAAACGCCTCCAGAACCGACTCTACACCTCCAGAACCGACTCTCTCTGTTGTTGTTGTTGTTGTTGCCTTCACATTAAAAACCATCCCGGTCTCTCTATCCAGTACAGTAGTCGAGGGACCCTTTTAGTGCCGGTACGTGCACAGAGCGTTCACCGGCAC